GGTCGCTATGGTTTCTGTTCAATGAATGCCCAAAAAACTCACGAAGAGTGCATTTGATGGATGAAATAGCAGACGCAGCCGGAAGCTAATTTCTGTGCCAAGCCTTCTTATGATATCTCTTCTTTATCGTAAATTAAATCGCCCCTGTTGCCATATGTGGCATATTAATTTTCCTTTCGAAGTGAAAAAACCATACTTCGTGCATCTCATGACGCATGTAATTCTAGCTGAATGATGATCAGTAACAAAGAAAAAGACTCTAAATGATTAACCGAAGTTAATACCATTCAAAAAACTGAGAACAACTCAGATTGAAGTTTACCAGCTTTATGTGTGTCAGGAGTAAAATTGCCACCAATGAAAGTGTAAAGGAAGATTTAGAATATTCTGCATTGCTGGAGACGAAATCAATATATCGATTTAGGGATGCAGACTTGTGCGGAATACGGTAGTTCAATGGAAGTTTGAGCAGACATAGGTACAGTCATAGGTTTCTTGGTACTTATCATTCCAGCAATGCATTTGGATTTAATTGAATGGAGCCAAAAAGCAGCACCCATCCTGCAGTTGGCGCAGTAATTTTTGAAGGCTGCAGATATAATACTAGTGCAGGTAACACAAACTTTGAATGGCATAAAGAGTGGTTCATAATATTTAAGAATTTGACGTGGCTTTGTAAGGAAAATTGGATATTGCCCTTGCGAAATTTTATGGATTCCCAAAATGTCGGAGACCTGAAGAAGTTATGTAGCTAAGAAAACGAGAGGTAAATTCCACTCTGTTTAGCTTGATCCGACACTTATCAAAAGCTCTCTACTCTCTTTCCTCTTCCTCTCTCTCCACCGCCTCTTCCGCCGTTACCCCCTTCCCCCTCCCCCATTTCGTCTGCGGCACATCATTTGTGGTGCGAAAATTTGTTGGTGGATTTTATTATTCGCGTAATGTCGGCGAGCAAAGACAGCTCAATCAAGAAAAAGAAAAGAATTCGGAAAAGGCTGAAAAAGAAAGAAATTTGCGTATATTTTTTGTAGGTTGATCAGACGCAAGAATGAGATAAACGTACTAACTATTGCACTATGACATCCTGATGCAAAGGAAAATGGAATGAAAAGAGATTAAGAGGGTACTGATTCCTTCAAGTGTTATATTATGCCGTACAGGTTGTTATAGATGATATAATTTATTGCCCGACGTTTTGGCAAGACCTGTCTTCAGAGGCTGAAAAGGCGTCAATCACAATGATGCACGGTCTCTGTCGTCAAATATCTCCACCGACTAGCCACTCAATTCGTCTTGAGTGAAAGCAGGGAATTCGAGCGCGAGCTCACCCACCAGGTTATCACGGTCGATGTGGCTTTCAGCCACCCTAGATGTCTTGGCCGGTTGCGGTGTCAAAGGAGCAACCATGCTACTGCCGGCTCCGTAAGTAGGGTACACAGTCTTATATCATACAGTACGACAAATACGGCATCGAGATACTCGTTATAGATAACTTCTCCTTCTTGCTGTTTATTTCGGGTTCAGAGACAGGAATGTAGGAACCTTCCAAGGCCTTTCGTGCGGGAAATTGGTGGTCGTGAGAAGATACTGCACCTAATATCGTAATCGACGCCGTTATGTTCGGCCATTCTATGCTTCTCAATTTTTTAAATTATGCTTTGCCTCTTTTTGCTAGCTAGTCTGATACGCACACCCACCGGCCGACCGGTTTCATCATTGTGTATGGCAAAGCACTTCGTACACTCGATTTGGATAGAGCGCCAGATTTCGCAGTATCTCCAAATATCACATGGGCACACTACACAATCTCTCGAAATACAAGCTTTGTTGTAAATTCTAATACAATTACTAGCTGCTTTCCGATATTCTCTTGGGAGATGCTAACATCTTTCGCAAGCTGTGATTCTATCAGACACTGTGATGATCTTTCGGAAATGAAAGGCAAGCACAAAGGTCTCGGCTGGTAGCTTGTCGCTTGTCTTTACTGTGTTTCTTTTCGAACATTCTCGCACAACATATCCATTCGAGGCTATTATTTCGCCTACCAGCTTTAGTGAATCCTGCCTTTCTTTCACCGCTACGGATCTTCGCCGCGGTTTTGATCATAATACGTACGCCCGACGCTTTTCAGTGCTTCTGGATGTGCGAGTTTCATGTGAAAGTTAATGCTCTCATTACTGTATCCACGGAACCGCTTTATGTGCAACGCTCCATTGCTTAACATCAGTTCGGTGTTCAGGGACGATAGCTCCGCAGCGTGGTTTTTCTCTCGTAAAGTTTATGTATCTCGACTGTTAGTTTAGTATTCGGAAACATTCGTCCATTTTGGGCTTTGCCGATATGACTATGCAACAGCAGTCGATATAACGACAACACATAAAAGGGCTCCGGACAGCACAGGTTCTCCTGCTTTGCTCTTGAAACATAACGCTAAAACAAGTGCTAAACGCTGCCCCAACGCCGGTCCTCTTGCTTGTGCACAGTATTTCCCTGACATTTTGAATATACAGGGTGTCCCAAAAAAATGTGCCTACTGTTTGATTGTAAATAATTCTCTTATAATGAAGTTTGGAGAAGCTTCAGAAACATTTTGTAGAGCGAGGTCAAACTTAGATTTACAGTATGGTGCGAATCACCTATCGCCCTTCATTACTGTAGGATTACGGTACGAACTTCGACAAGGATTTTGGGCCATTGGAGGCTATATTTTGCCTCGGAACAAAACCAAACAAGCTAAAAACTCCTATGCTACAGTAATGAGAGCCACTGATTTTGAATTTGAATTTTCCACTTTATTGTGATGCTTCTTTCCAAAGTTATCCCGGGTAAACCATAATAATTGAATTCTCAGTACCTGTTAGAAATGTGATTACACCGTCAAAAAAGCTGAAAACACTCGTAGAAAGTTTATAAGCGGAATCAGCATGCGCGAAAACCTTAGTACACGATTTTTCAGATTTCTTGAAAAGAAATTTTGTTCGGCGGTTTATTTCACAATTTTTCCATATGCTGGAAGTTCGTACCGTAATCCTACAGTAATGAAGAGCGATAGATGATTCGCTTACTGTAAATCTAAGTTTAACCTCGCTCTACAAAATAATACCGAAAGCGTCTTGAAACACTTCACTGCAAGAGAGTTATTTACAATCAAACAGTAGGCACATTTTTTGGGACACCCTGTATATTGCAATCCCATTATTTGGTGGGAGTCATGACGCAGTTTTACTAAATAGGAAATGGTCAGAACTTAACCCAGCCATTCTAACAAGCTGTATATCATCAGACTCACCCTGAAGCGCTGATTTCACATACATATATATGTTTATTACCTTTCAAGCGCCTATCTGGACGGAGTTATGAGCGGTTAAATATGATAAATCATTCGAGTTCCAACGAATACAGTTTGTTGAAAGACAGCCTAATGGCCGAATTCACAGTGACTATGGGTATTCTAATTACAAGGAAGAAGCACATTCACCAAAAACCTACATAAGTGTTTTTGAAACGTGTTTCGCGAATTATGCACCACAGAACAGTTGACAGATCACACGTTTAGACGCTCACAACTCCGTCCAGATAGTTCGCTTGGCAGATAATAAACTTATACTTGAAATCAGCGTTTCAAGGAGAGTCCGATAATCAGCTTGTAGTATATGGCTGGATTAGTTCTGACCATTTCCTGCTGAGCCCGTAAGTGAATATAGGTCCACTATGTAACTCTAGCATCTCAGACAAACCTTGTAAGGCTTTGCGATATCAAAGGACTCAATGCGCAATTCGATGTGAACTTTATTTCAGGCAAAAGTTCGGAAGCAATTAGTATTGCTCAAGCGGGGGGAGGGGAGAATTCTGTTCAAGTGTTGGCTGATAATCTTGTTGAGGAACCACGATATGCGATCATTTGACCGTTCACGCAACTGACGATGGGTCGTATCGTGTGCAATGCAGCGAATGCTGAGTGCATTTCGGATGTGGAGAGTTTATGCGTTTTGAGAGCTATAGAATACAGAACAAGTAGGTGTTTCTGTATTAAGTCTACTGAAAAAATGGTTCCGCTCAAAATGATAAAAGAATGCAATATATCCCCACAGAATTTGTTCATTATATGGCAGTAGAATAAACTCAGCGGATATCGTCTCTTCATGAAGCTTCGCTATTGAATCAAAAAACATATTGACCTTTCTCTATGAACCGGTCAGCGTTCGAAAGTATAGGTAAAAGGAAAAAGCAAAGCTAATGATGACTTTTCTATGACGGGATATGTGATTGAATTCAGCAGGCGATACAAAGGGCTTTGGTAAGGAAAAGGGGAAAGGAGCAACGAAAAAACTGATTGAAAAAACGTGGCATTTTTCGATAATGATGGCAAAATAACTTTTCTAATGAAATAAAATTTCAGTGAAAATTTGTGAAGGTCGTTATCTACGGATAGCGGCAAGTCACTTGCATAATCTGATAACCCATAAAAATTCTTTCACAACTTCTCCCTCACTCCCCTCCCTCCCTCTCCCTCCCTCTCCTCTGCCCACCGTTGATGGATGACCAGCCATATCAGGAAGCAATTGGGTAAGAATCGTATAAAGGATGACGGCAAAGTAAGATCCATATAGAATTGATGATATGAGGCATAAAATGGTAATGGTGTGACTTTATGCATTCGGCAGCCTGCGCCCGTGCTGAGCGGTCGCGTTGACCCCAGCTATCGACTAGTCGTTCGAGTCCCGCACCGTACTGCACCTTTACTTCCCACACCGCTGCCTATTCTCGTTGATTCTGATTATTCGTCTATACCGATGGTCAAGGAAATCAAGGAAACGCCGGTCTATCCGTTGTCACCGGCAGAGCGTCAAAGAAAAAGGAAGCTGAACTTCGATGAGTCGCCGGAGACGTCGCCAGACTTCTACACTGCCACGAATGCGCTGATTCAAGATCAACAGATTCCACTTTATGCCAGGACAATCCTGGCGTACCTCATCGATAGCAGGAAGCAAATGGAGGAAATGATGAAGAACAACCGTGAGTTAATGGAGAGTGTCAAGAAGCTATCGGAAGAAGTCATTTCTCTTAGAGCAGAAAATAATCGCTTAAAAGAATCTGTTACTAGATCTGCTCCTGATCGATCCAAGGACACGGTTACAAAGGACGGCCAAATGGAGGACATCGAAAAGAGAAGGTCTTTGGTTTTTATTGGAATTCCGGAAAGCCATGAAAAATCCAGTAATTGCCGCAGGCATGACAACAACTGTGTAGGTCAAATCCTTGATTTTTTGGATATTGACTGTTTTTCAGTCATGTCATACCGCATGGGCAAGCCCAATCAATTATATAATCGATTGTTGAAGGTAGTATTACCGTCTTCTTTTTTTGCTAAACTTATACTTAAACGGGCTTCTTGGATGAAGAATTTCCCGCATAAAAGGGGTATTTATATTAGACCATCTATGTCGAGGGAGGAAAGGGGAAATTTTAAACTTGTGAGGGGCCCAAAACGTCGTGTTGCTGATATTGATCCTGCCATTGTCAATGTTCCTGATCAAGAACGTAGTTGTATGGATGTATCGATCAATGGTATTCCTTGCACGCAAGTGGCGGATTCTTTAAACGCATAGAATCTCTTTGGAAAGTTGATAGTTCTCTCTTATGCTTTGCAACAAACATCAGATCGCTGCAGAAAAACATAAATAGTCTCAAATTCCTCCTCTATGGTAACTCTCCATGTGCAATAGGACTTACAGAAACTTGGTTGGTGGAAGACTATGATATTAGAATGCATCACTTTTTGGCGATCTTTGCTCTATTTATGAAGTGTACAGGCGTGACCGGACATGTAAAAGAGGAGGAGGTGTTGCTTTTTTGATAACCAGGTCTTTGTGTCCCCATCTAATCTTCAGTGAATCGGTTAAAGATGGCTATGAGGTCTTTGTGTTGACATCTTGACCAAGAATAAGAAAGTTCGATTGGTTCTGATTTAAACGCCTTCTTGCTCCAATAGAGCGCTGGAACAGATGACTAAAGCAATTTCCGATCTTGTATCTTGTGAATATCCATCCGTAGTACTAGGGGACTTGCCCGCTATCGATTGGGACACTTTTGCTGTACCGAAGGGCAATGTTGCGGCGAGAAATTTTCTGAATATGTGCATTAGTCACCAGCTTATACAGAAAGTCAAATCGTATACTTTGGGTAAGAGTACCCTTGATTTGGTTTTTACCAATGACAAAGGTCTGGTGACTAATGGTACAGTTGAACCACCAGTTGGTTCAAGCGATCATGCACTCATTAGTTTTCGAATGAATAGTACCGGTGAGGTCCAAAAATTATATTTTGAGAAGAGACTACAAAAAGGCCGACATGGTTGGTGCTGTGAAGTACTTAGAAACGATTGATTGGTTTGGTGTGGTTCCTTGAATGCGGCTAATACAGTCAACGAAATGTGTGAATTACTCATATTCATACTTCACCATACCATCGATCTTTTTGTGCCCATGAAAATGGTAGCTGTGGGCAAGTATACCGTGCCCCAAAACATAGAGAGACTTTCCCATCTGAAGACGAAAGCTTGGTTCAAAGCTACCAATACCGGTAGAGAAAGAGATCTGGCACAGTTCAAAGCAATCAGTCTGAGGCTAGAAAAAAGACTAAAAAGATATAACGCTTACCTAGAAAGGAAGATAATTAAATCAGGAAATAAGTCAGCTTTCTATCAACTCCTAAACCGAAGGCTTAAGGCCAAAAATCCGATAGGAGTCATTCGCACAACGGGTGAAGTTTTGATTTCCGACTTAGATAAAGTTGAGGGCTTTGCTGACATGTTTGAAAGTGCTTTTGAGAGGGATAGTTGTGAAGACATACTTTCTGATACCACTCAGCCTAGGTTCCGGACTATGAGGGACTACACTTATTTCAATGACGTTGAGATCTATGAGCTACTCAGCAAATGGCCAGATTCCAAATCTCTGACTCCTGATTTCTTACCATCTCATCAAAGAGGTCGCACACGTCATTTCGAGACCGTTGCAGTTCATATTCAATCTTAGCTTGATGCGATCAGAAGTTCCACATAGATGGAAAGTCTCGTTTGTGACACCTATTCCCAAAAAGAAACAGCGCGGTAGTGTCTCAAATTATCGGCCAGTGAGTATCACATCAATATTTGCTAGATTATTTGAGAAAATTATCAAAAAGGCAATACTAAAACATTGGAAAACCAAAGCATAATTTCGCAAGCACAGCACGGGTTTCAGAAGGGGAATCAACTGTAACTTCCATGTTGTACTCACTAAATGATTGGACTCGTTGGTTAGAGCATAATAAGGGGATTGATGTTGTCTATCTGGATTTTACGAAGGCATTTGACAAGGTGCCGCATTCGAGACTTATATTGAAGCTAAAGCTGGTTGGAATTCATCCCTCTATTGTTTCGTGGATTGCTTCCTTTCTAGATAATCGTACGTTCAGTGTTCACATTGGTGAAGCTTTTTCTAGCCTGAGGGCAATGCCCAGTGGAGTCCCACAAGGCGGAGTGTTGTCTCCAATTCTCTTTAATATCTACACATATGAGATTCCTCACTTAGTTCTGAGGTAGGAGTGACATGCTGTGGATTTGCCGACGATTTCAAGATATACAACCCAATAGCAGGAATGGTAGATAAGGAGAAGATGCACGATGCTTTGAACCGAATAGTAGAATGGTCTGATATCTGGAAATTGCCCATTTCACAAGAAAAAATCAAAGTTCTTCACCTAGGACCTTCGGTTATGGATTACAATTACCGCATAAAGGGTGAAGTTATTGATTATGTTGATGAGATAAGAGATTTAGGGTTTTTAGTGAATAGTCGGCTGGATTTCGATAAACATTGCGAAACCCTTGCAGCTAAAGGAATTTCGGCAGTATATAATTTGTTTAGAGCCCTTTCCACAACTAATGTTGACATTCTCATGAGGGCATATAAGGTTTATATAAGACCTCTATTGGAGTATGGAACGGTAATCTTCAATCCAACGAAGCAGAGAACTGTACAAGCACTAGAAAGAGTGCAAAACTGCTTTACAAGGAAATTATTGATTAGAACCAAAGGCCTCAAATACGAACTTTTACCCAACGGAAAGGATCGAAATAAAATCTTGGGATTGGTCAGCCTGTGCAATAGAAGAAGAAAGCTTGATCTTATTATGGCTCACAAAATATTATTCGGAGATTGCCAACTTAATCCCGCCAACTTCTTTGAGACTAGAAGTTCTATTACTAGAGGGGGACCTCAAAAAATGGTAATACCAAGAGCAGGGAGGAATGTGAGAAGAAGATTCTTTACAACAGAGTCAACGGCGATCTAAATAAAATGATGAGAAAGGGTATGCTTCCTCTAAAATTGTCTCAGTTTAAAATGATTCTTGAGAACTATCTTCTTTCGCCATAGTTCCTTATATGATTGTTAGGCCTTTCTAGTTTGTTGTGTTGTGTATTAGATTTTGTGTTCTGTTGAATGTAATATGCATAGGAAATTCCTACGCAATAAATAATAATAATAATAATAATAATAATATGCGATCATTTGACCGTTCACGCAACTGACGATGGGTCGTGTCGTGTGCAATGCAGCGAATGCTGAGTGCATTTCGGATGTGGAGAGTTTATGCGTTTTGAGAGCTATAGAATACAGAACAAGTAGGTGTTTCTGTATTGAGTCTACTGAAAAAATGATTCCGCTCAAAATGATAATAGAATGCAATATATCCCCACAGAATTTGTTCATTATATGGCAGTAGAATGAACTCAGCGGATATCGTCTCTTCATGAAGCTTCGCTATTAAATCAAAAAACATATTGACCTTTCTCTATGAACCGGTCAGCGTTCGAAAGTATAGGAAAAAGGAAAAAGCAAGCTAATGATGACTTTTCTATGACGGGATATGTGATTGAATTCAGCAGGCGATACAAAGGGCTTTGGTAAGGGAAAGGGGAAAGGAGCAACGAAAAAACTGATTGAAAAAACGTAGCATTTTTCGATAATGATGGCAAAATAAATTTTCGAATGAAATAAAATTTCAGTGAAAATTTGTGAAGGTCGTTATCTACGGATAGCGGCAAGTCACTTGCATAATCTGATAACCCATAAAAATTCTTTCACAACTTCTCCCTCACTCCCCTCCCTCCCTCTCCCTCCCTCTCCTCCGCCCACCGTTGATGGATGACCAGCCATATCAGGAAGTAATTGGGTAAGAATCGTATAAAGGATGACGGCAAAATAAGATCCATATAGAATTGATGATATGAGGCATAAAATGGTAATGGTGTGACTTTATGCATTCATTCAAATATCCTGCAAGTTGCAATGAGCTTACATACTTTCAAAAACAACTCGCTTGCTTTAACTATTATTGTATTGGTGAGTAGTGGTGTTTGGTTGTAAATTTTCTCTGGGTGCAAAATACAGTTTTTGGCGATGCTGAAATGCAAAAAGATAGGCCGAATGTTGAGTATTGAGCAAATTGCAGTGTCATGTACGTTAAGTTTTGCAGAGATTTCCTAATTTACTAACTTCCATGTTTGAGAAATTGGAAGGCAAAAATGTGTAGCATAGAGTTGTGCGGTTCTGAACGGTAAGTAGAACACAAGGTCAAAGCAATGGAAAGCTTGCGCAATTAGTAACTTTTTGTAGCTTGACTATTTAAACAAACCCATTCCATGAAAATAAATGTTTACACGGGTATGTAATGTTGTTCCAGTGGGGTTCTTCAAGATTCATCCAAGATTCATCAACTGTTGCCATCCCCATTTTGCAGCTAGAACTTGAAGAAAATATTGACACTCCTGTAAAAGAAATAATGATTTTACTTTTGAAAGTGCGATGGACAGCCCTATTTCCAGTCTGCTATACTCAATAAAGGAGAACATAGCATGTCTGCGCCCATGCTCCATAGTGAATTGTAAAAAGAAAAAATGAGGGCACATTTATCCGTTTGTGTAATATTATTTTCAACTTTGTAACGCTTTTACTCCTGCCGTTACCTTGTTTTGCATTGTTTTGCATTTTGAAGCTTGAAATACCATATAAATTTCATTTTCAAATGGTGATGCAGTTGTTGTCCTCCTCTCACCTCATAAAAGAAAATGAATCCAAAGTTTGTGTATTACGAGTTAAATGTTAAGCACAGCTGGTGACATTACATGCTAACTACGACCTTACTGCTAAATGGAACTGTGAAGGTAGCTTGAATCTACCGGAAAGAGCAATAACACACAAGGGGCTGCAAAATCAACCTTTGATTCAACTGACTTGACGGCTGGAAGGCGGGGCTTGCGATCTAATTAAGGCCACTCGCACCCGCGACGCAGTCTGCGTTCTCTCGGGGCGTGCTCTGATAATTAACTAGCCTTAATTAGGTCACGAAGCCCCGCCTTCCCGAATGCCAAGCCAGTTGAACCAAAGAGTGTATGCCGTTTAGGATGAAAATCCATGGAGAACGTTCTCGAAGTTCCAAAAGTAGTACCTAAGCTTATTTGGCATATACTCGAATGATTGCAAGCAATACATAAAAGTCAGAACGATTTACCTAGTCTTTACTTACTCTGATTGGGGGCATTTCAAATTTTAAAATGTATAAA